TTTTTTAGTTTCTCAAAACTCTGCAGTTTCAAAAAACTAGGTACCATCATGGTAAATGTGATCATGATAATAATGATCATCATGCTTTTCTGAGTTAACATGGTTGCAAATGGATTTCCCCCTGGAAACAGTTCACATGGAAACGATCAACTAAACTTCTGCTGGGTTCCACTAGATTTTTAGTAAGTCAGGTCCTCCATCATGGAGGGCATGTGTTGCAGTGAGATCACCAGAAACTGCCTCCCTGTTGTGGGGCGGGACCGTTTGGATGACCGCAACACCCCATTGGTTGCCCCTCTGTTGTTGGGGCAGAAATTTGGTCGGTTGGGTTGGCTATTGGCTGTGGAGAGTTTCACTTCCTTGCAACGTGCAGTGGATCACCAGCTCTCCTCTCCCTATATTTAGGGTTGTTCTTATGGCCTTGCTATGCCTGTCTAGCAGTCATCTGTTTTGGAGCAGGGGCCCGGTAGGAATTTGCCATTTGGCTGGTGCCACTTGGTTTTTGCCTACCGTGTAGCAAATCGTCACAACTTTGTAAGGCTGGCGGTTAGGCATTTGGTTCAATGTTTTGGGGAGGGGACATGATTGGCTGTGCCTGCCCCTCCATCGCTGCTGCTAGGGAATTCCATTAAAGGAATCCAGGGGCTCACCTTGCTTTTGTCCGAACCCTGTCAAGGGGCTAGGGCCATGCCAGAGCCCCTGGGAGCATCTGGGGTGAGCTGTGAGATCGAAGGAGTTCTGGCTCCCCCAGGATGCTTTCCCTTACTGACATATGGTGGTGTCTGGTGTCAGTCCTGTTCCTGCCACCATGCAGGTCCAGGTAGTCTGGAACCAATGCCTAAACAACCACTCACATGCTATAATCAATAGAATTGTAGCCAAAATTTAATGCTGAAAACCTTAAACTAAAATCTGTGTCTATTGTGTCTTCATTTGGGGGTGGTTTTGGGGGTCTTCACATGCAATAACTTTTATGTTGTGTGAAAGATCACATAAAACACAAGAACTAACAAGTAAGGAAACAATGGGAAGACAGAATAAATTATTCCTTGATCCTGACTAGTGGCTCTTTGCTCAGCCCTGGCACTACTTAGATTGCATATCCTGCCTATTAAAAAAATGCTTTCACAGTTTTAGAAATAATAAGCATTCATCACAAAGGCCAATGACTAGCCAAACTCTAAAGCTACCTTGCACAGTCGAATGAGACTTGAGTGCAGACAAAAGCTTCACTCTTTTCTGTGTTTTATTTATTCATTCACATTCATTTCCTTAAATTTATGAATTGGTTGCTATAAAACATATCTAAGTGACTTAAGCATAAAACATGTATTAAACCACTTCATACAGACAACTCCCCATTTACGCGTGTTCGAGGCAAGCGTGACCATGCACCTTTGCATTGCTGCAAACCCAGAAGTGGCACAAAGAGGGGCAAAAATGGCCCTCAAAGAGCACGGAAATGGCAAAAAATAGCAGCTAGCAATCCCACAAGCCTTTGCAAGTGCAATCCAGGAGCCCTCGCACCAACCTTTGAGGCCTATGGAGAGTTGGAGTTGGAGCAAGGTGGTGTGGAGGGAGAAATTTTGGTGGAGTTGGTGGAGTTTCTATTTTTTAACAGGTCTTTCAATGGTTTCCAGAGGTTTAAAGGCTGTTTGCAGGCTTTTTCAACAATGTTCCAAATACAGGCCATTTCACTTAAACAAGCAGTGCCTCAGAACATAACCCCTGTGTAAATGGCAAGTTGCCTGTGTATAAAAACAGATTCAAATCCTATACAAAAAGTGGGATAAAAATATGCACTGAAAAGGTTTGCTGGAAAAAGAAGGCCTTTGACAGGTACCAAAAAGACAATAGATATGGCACCTGTCTCATATGTAATGGGTGTGATACACACACACACACACACACACACACACACACACACTTTTATAAAATTTTCTCATTTACATTTCAGAATATTCATTTTAAACAACCTTAAATCAGTGACTTCCCTCCTTCTTTTTCTGTGGTTCAGTTTGCATAACATACATCCCTGCATATTTTACATGAACTAAACCATTCAGCAATCCATTGTTACATCCATCAAAACTTAATCACACTGTGGAATTTATCTAGCATTTTTAAATGAACACAATTTTCATCCATATATTCAGTAAACATTTTCCGGTCTTCTTTAAACGTACATTTCTTCTTGTTTTCTTATTCTATATGTTAAATCTGCAAGCATATATAATTCTAAACGGTTGGTGCCCATCATCCTAAGTACCCAGTTCCTATATTGTACAGAATGGCCCTCTCCTGCAGAGCTCAGTGATTGGTTGAGTATATAATGAGTGATCTTTTAGATTTCCTTCTCCTTAGCTGCATATGGTTTTGCACACCAGTACCACCACCTTGAGGGACGTGGGTGGTGCAGTGGTCTAATTTCCAGAGCCTAGGGCTTGCCGATTGGAAGGTTGGCAGTTCAAATCCCCGCAATGGGGTGAGCTCCCATTGCTCACTCCCAGCTCCTGCCAACGTAGCAGTTTGAAAGCATGTCAAAGTGCAAGTAGATAAATAGGTACCGCTCTGGCGGGAAGGTAAACAGCGTTTCCGTGCGCTGCTCTGGTTTCGCCAGAAGCGGCTTAGTCATGCTGGCCACATGATCTGGAAAAACTGTCTGTGGACAAACGTCGGCTCCCTCGGTCAATAAAGCGAGATGAGCGCTGCAACCCCAGAGTCATCTGCAACTGGACTTAACTGTCAGGGGTCCTTTACCTTTACCTTTACCACCACCTTGATCTTAGCACAGTAGCTATCAGATAGTACTTCATAAAATGAAGGTCTTTCTTCAGCCTATAGGAGGGCCTCTGCACATGAGAGGTCTGTGCAGATGTATGCTTCCTCACTTGTGCTCAAAAGCCACTGGATTCTGTTGGCTGCTTATACAACACAGCATTTCTGACACAGAATGAAATACAATGGATGTGTTCCGTACAGGAAGAGCCAATGTATTCTTTTTATATAATATATTATCATCCATTCTCCAACACAAAGCAATAGAATAAACTTGCATTCTTCATCCAAACTCCTTGTTTCTAACTATAATGTTAAAATGTTCTTTGGATTCAATTATTTGCAATTAGATTGTTTTTAAAAAGGCAACCTATAATTAGAATGGAACCTTTTGTGAAGCATAAATCTAGTAATTAAGTTGTTTCTGAAGTTCTAATTCCACTGGGCAATTAAAAAGAAAAATGCCAGGTGCTAAGGAAGAGAACAATGCCATAGAGTGTTGAGAGTCTTAAGTTATCAATGGAACCTTTAGCCAAAAGATTTTCCCATTGATTCTCATGGTTTTAAGTGGTAATCCTTTTAGCCAACAATCGTTACCAGTAGTTAATGACTTCTCTCATAAGCTAGGATCAATAGTAACAACTGACCAGAGGGCTCTAGTGAGACCTGCCAGTTTGGAAGAAAAGAGACTTATTAATGTCTCTGGATAGTAGAACGCCGTCCAATAAGCCCCCAATGTCCCCTGATATTCCAGGGACAGTCCCTATTTTTGATACAGGTCTCTGGTAAATCACCAACCCCATTTTGCCTCTCGAGGAGTTTTCAGAGGTGGCTTTTTGGCAGTGGTTTTTTGCACGACACATTTAGGGAGGGTTATACTTGTATGTTTTCCCCCTTGAGATTCTTTTCCTGGTGCTCATGCCCAGACACATACCTAGGGGTTGGTGAAACCAGCCCCTGCTAGGGGCACAGACCAGGGGTGGAGGCAAAAATTGCCTATCAGGATACAGAGTGTAGGATGTAAATGTGTGTGGCAACGCACCACCACTGTCACGGTGAATCAAACGCAGAAGCTTCCCATCCTTCTCGCACAGCATCACAAAGGTGTGAGAAGTTTTTTCACCCTTCTTCCTCACTCAGGATGCTTTGAGTACTTCAGCTGCATAAAATGGGCTGGTGCTGTGCTGTTTTTATTATAATTATTGTTATGCTTTTAATAGATTTCATATGGACTTCCGGGTTAGCGCCTCTGGCAATGGCGGATTTCCTCTGATTGGGAGGAATCCGCTCCGTGAGAATTAGGGTCTGGACCGCCGCGGTGAGGCGGAGACCCACTAAAAACCACAGGCGGGAGAAGCCTGTGGACGTGGGATTCGGCTGGCACCCTCCTACTCGCGGGGAAACCCGGTTTTGGGGATCCGGAGCGACGTGGGGTGAATGGCGCTGTGCTTCGAATCGACTGCTCTTTTCACGGAGTGAAGCCGCATTGCTGTTGCCGGAGAGCGCTGACTTTTTCCTGTGGACAATTGGATTTTAAACAACTGCCCGTGAGTAGAACGGAAAATTGGACTATGTAATTTCTTAATTTGGCACCAAAGCGGGAAGGTCTAAACAGGAAGTCCGCCTTCCGCTTTTGTAAATAGATTGAAGCAAAGACATGGCAAGCTAGAGTCTGGAAAGTCGTTTGTAAAGGATTAAATTTTCATTATTTAAAATTACTGAACCCCCCTTGGAAGCAGGAGAAGAGGGGGGAACCTTTTTTAGACTGTCTAAACCTGCCAAAGAGAGAGTAAAGAAAGGTAAATTTCCACCGTCTTGAACCTGGGAGCGGGGTGTCAGGACAGACGTTTTGGGGAAGTCCATTGACTGTGGACAAACGTTTTTGACAGATAGTCAAAAGAAGAGAAACATATTGATTCCATTGTTCCCTTTCACATTTAAAAGGAACAAAATATCCGAAAAAGGAAAACTTTGTTGCTAGATCTGCTTTAAAAAAAAAGAAGAAGATGGATACAAATAGAAATTGTTTCCCCTAGAGGGAGCCTGTGAAACTGTTATTAGAGTCGAACTGGGGAGCTTTGCAGCTGTAGAGATTAAAGATTGTGGGACCAGACTTCGACCTTGAACAAGAATGTGCTTAGAGGAGGCTTTGGTGCTTGCTCTCTGCAAGACAAGTGCTTTATTGGAACAGTTACATGAGAAGATGGATTTGATGACACTTGCGGTCGGAAATTTTGGACAGGCAGTGGGTACCTATATAGAACCCACTCAGGAATTAATCCAGGAATGTGCTTTGACAGATCAGATAAAGGAGGAGGTTGTTGCTGAACCTCAAGTAGCAGAAATGGAGAGAGCTGTGGCCCAGCAGGAACATGAGTTGTTGGATTTGACGAATGAACCTGGAAAAAGTCAGATTTGGAGAGATGGAGTTCTGTTTGGCTTGGAGATGGGGGGCTGGATGGATCCCCCTATGCAGGGATGTTTTGACCTTTCGAGTCTGGCTTTGGGCCGGGGGAGTTCGGAGTTGTGGGGGCCCTTAACTTTGGAGGGACTTTGAAACATGCCTTTAAATACTATATGGATTTCAGTGTTGACTATGGAAAAGGGGCTGACTTGTCGAGAGGGGACAAAGATATTGTCAAGTTGGAGTCTCCCCGAGTGAAAGGAAGGAAATTAAGAATAAGATCAGCAGAAGACAAAGTAAAGTACAGGTATAAACATGAAGAAGATCTGCGGAAGGGACATGGAAAAGACTTAAGAGCCTCGGATACAAGGTCACCAGGTTGATGGACTAGATGGATGGGATAGAAAGGACTGACAAAACCCGAGACCAGGAAGAAGAGACGATGGATAAAGATTGGAAGAAAGTTTTAAAAAATTATTTAGAAAAGTATCGTAAAATTAATGAGTATTAGAAAAATGTTGGAATGAAATTATTTGGCTTTAGCAGAAATGTTAAAAAGAATTATGTAAGAATATGTTATGGTTAAAAGAATTTGGTATAAATAAGATTTAAGTTTTAAGCTTTAAGGTTTTTTATGGCAAGATAAGGTTAAAATAGATTAAGATAATTTAATGACAGAATATTGTGAAAGATGGAAAGGATTTGCTGAGATAATTAACAACTAGAATACAAAAAAGGGAGGTGTGAGGAGGTTGATGAAATAAGATAATGAAAGTTAAGGATTTGGGAATATTGGATATGTTTTTAATTTTTTTGTTTATTTTTGCTTTTTGCTTTTGATGTATTGTGTGTTTTGTTTTCTCTTTTTGACTTTGGTTTTTATTGATTTGTATTGTTTAATTGTTATTTTTATCTACCCTTTTCTTTCTTTCTTTTTTCTCTTTCTCTTGTTTTTTTCCTTTTTTCTTTGTAATTTTAAAATTCTCAATAAATATCATTTAAAAAAATTAATAGATTTCATATGTCTGTAGTTTTAATTCTATCAATGTTTCATTGCTTTTTAATGATACCCCCTTTGTTTTCAGCGGCTCTTATTTTCACCTGTAAGCCACCTTGAGTCCTGTCATGGAAAAAGGCAGGGTATAAATAAATATTATGAAAACAGCAGCAGTGTTATGCATTTCTGGTAAGCCTGGTGGATGCCCTTGTGAATAGGTATGTTTTAACCAACCTGCCAGTAACAGCTGATGTGCCAGTGTTTCTGCAGCTTACCTGGATAGGGTAAGGGAAAGCTTTGCTTCCCCCACCAATATTTTTTCTTTTTTCTTTTTAGGCCCACAAACTACAAGAAGGCTTACAGGGTACCTCAGTCTTTCTATGGGCTATTTCACCCCATTCCCAAGTCCAAAAGCATACCGTTTGTGAGTCATGTGCAAGAAGCTCCTTAAAATATATTGAAATCTCCTTCACACCCTGGTAACCCAAAAGGCGAGGAACTAAATGACCTAGAAAATGCAGCCGAGCTAACTCTCTTTTGAAATGAACCACATTGGCTATATTTATTTCAAATGATTAGGGAAAATATTTGGTTATCGTTGCATCATGTGCATCTAAGCAATTTACAAATCGTAATGAAGTCAGAGCACATTTTATGAACTCAATTAAGGTAGCTCACCATGAAGCGTGTTTGATGTTATTTAGTATCACACTATAAACACAGTTTAGTGGTTGGATCACTTGGTTAAATCAAGTGCATTAATAAAGCCTTATTATTAAACAAAACAGGTATAAAACAAGATTCGCTCTAACAATCTGATTTTTTCTTTTGCCGTATCATTGATTTTCGGAGCAACATATGGAATTTAAATGAAGTGGTTTGCACAGTATTGGGAAATCATTTTCCATCTTTCTCTTTTGGTCTGCGGAAAATCTTCAGAAAAAAGAAGATAAGAAAAGTTTTGACTTATCATGTGGGCAATTTGGTTATGGTTGAAGGGAATCTACTGCACCTTATAAAACCACAATAACAATGATGGGAAAACGGGAAAAACCAGTCCACATGATTGAAATGACCCACCCCACTTATGTGACCCACCCCACCCCATGTTATGTCACCATTATAACACTTTTTAAAATGTCTTTGATGAATGGCTCTAATCACAGTCCTCTCCTTAAGAGCTGATTGGTAGAGACCACTTCTGCAGAAAGCCAGCAATACATCCCAATTCAGAGAGCTTCTTTTCTGTTTTTTAAGTCTTCAGTAGTAGGATGCCACAGCCATTGCACAGCCTCAAAGGCAACTTAAGTTGTACCAGCCACCTGAACATATCAAAGAGGAGGAGTGAACACTGGCATCCATGGCTAGATTAAGAAAACTCCTTTTGATCTACACCTACCATTGGGATTGGTTGGGCAGAAGGTGGAAGGGCCAACAGCAGGCAGACCCAAAGTCAATTACCAGCATAGTCAACTAATTCTGCTCCCATCTTCTGCTCCCATCCCTCTCCCTGCTGAGTTTTACAAGGCCTACACTGCCATGGTGGACCTTGGGTTCTCAAATTTTAGCAGTGCCCTGTGCAACAGCAAAATTCAGTGCCCTCCCACCTCGCATGCTCCATTCTCAATCATAGTTGTGGCACCCTCTGCAGTGCCCCGGAGGCTCAGTGCCCAGTGTGACCGAAATAGTCGTGCTTCCCAAATCCACCTCTGAACAATGAGATTAAGGAGGAGGAAACTGACAGGCAGTGCCATCCCCTAGACTGGTTGTAAGCATGAAGGCAAACAAGTGGGGAGTGGCCAGGGGCGGAGTGATGTTGACAGGACAGTGCCCCCCTCACCCTAATATACCAGCATCCAGTGCTCCTGTGGTAGGAAGGTGCAGGGAACAGAACTGGTAGGGAGGTGAAGTGACGACGTGAGCACATTCTGAATTAACCTGGTTGCACACATTTAGAACCAGTTGTGAAACTTCCTTCCTTTTGAGGTTCAACAAAAGCTATGTTACTGCCAAAAATACCATAAAACCTTTTACTTGGGCCCAAAAATGATGAGAAGAACAGGAGCAGAAGTCGATTTTAACGTGTCTGCCCAAATCTCTCACACTAATCTTATATGATTGTATTCATTGCATTATAAGCAATAATTATACTATTCTTCTTCTCATCACAGAGCTACAATCCCAGAGTGCAGTGGGGGGAGGGATTAACTGTTGAGGTGCTATGAAAATTTTAGAACTGGGAGAGGAAAAGTGACGTCCTAACAGCTTGCAGTGCTTCACAAACTACAGTTCCCAGGATTCGTTGGGATAAACCATGATTGCTTCAAGGGCTTTAAATGTACAGTGGTACCTCTAGATACAAACGGGATCCATTCCGGAGCCCCGTTCGCATCTAGAAGCAAACGTAACTAGCAACGGCAGGTCTGTGCACGCGCACATTGCTTTTCGTCACTTCTGGGCATGCGTGTGATGTCATTTTGAGCATCTGCACATGCGCAAGTGGCGAAACCCTGAAGTAACGCACTCCGTTACTTCTGGGTTGCCGCGGAGCGCAACTCGAACACGCTCAACTCGAAGCGTATTCAACCCGAGGTATGACTGTATAGGGAAAACGAGGCCTCTGTTTGAGGAAGCTCCATGATAATGTATCTGTTTTGACTGGTCTCCCTGAGCTTGCTTTATGTCCCTCTGAGAAGAGGTGACTGCACAGAGTAACCAGAGTTTGAATACCCAGAGCTTTATGATCTGAAACAGTAATTAAATTTGCATACCTTTATTGCAACTGTAATCTGAAAATGGTTGAGGCCTTGAGTATTTATTATATCAGTATGAAATTGTTTGTGTTATAGTCCCACATTTAAAAAAAAAAATCCCTTTTATACAACAGAGATAAGCACAGTATTTTACAGACTTCCAACTGGTTATAATCTTACTTTCTTTCATCTGTAGCACAACCACTCCCTTCTTTATCAGTAATCTGCTGACAGGATACTATTTATCACACATCAGGTTTATGGTTAAATTGTCTCGGTGTTCACCAGCTGGGAGTTACATCCCTACCAACCCTTTCATATGAAAGGGTTTGCCACATAAATAAAAACTTCTGCCCAGCTAAGCTAATTTTCTAAGCCAGCTTCATGGTATTTGCTGCAACTAATTATTTGTAACTTGGTTTACAGACTGGCTTGGAGGGCTCAGTCAAATCTTTCAAGATGATGTAAGATTTTCTAAATATACAGTAATAATAGTCATGAAACATAACAAAATTATCATGCAATATAAACCACATTACACCTTACTAATAGAACAGTCCCAGTTAATATCACTAGAAATTAATGTTTGTTTTTAAAAAAGCTTCCAAAGATGAAGTGACTCATATGTCATGGGGAAGAGAATTTGACATGTGTGGGGCCACCACTGGTAACCATCATTGGTAACCATCAACCTCTTACTGACAAACCAGAGAGCAGGGCCTCAACAGCTAACTATAAAATCCAGTCAACAGAAAAGTTTCACAATGGCGGAACTGACTGTTCCACTGGACGTGTGATTATGTGACATCTGGTCAATGCAGAAGTAACTTCATTTACAGTGGTACCTCGGGTTACATACGCTTCAGGTTACAGACGCTTCAGGTTACAGACTCTGCTAACCCAGAAATAGAACCTCGGGTTAAGAACTTTGCTTAAGGATGAGAACAGAAATCGTGCTCCGGTGGCGCAGCGGCAGCAGGAGGCCCCATTAGCTAAAGTGGTGCTTCAGGTTAAGAACAGTTGAGAAAGAGGGACAGACCTGTGAAAAGTTTGAGTAGACAGCAAGAATGTTTTTCTTTATGGAAGCGATGAAATACGGCAGCTGTCTGAAATATGACTCTTGAACGAACGGAAAAATCCACACAGGAATACAAATTTGTTTCAACACGCTTATGGAGACTATCAGAGGCCACAAAGACAAAGAGAAAGGAAAAATATATGAAAACAACTAGAAGAGATGTGGAAAACAGCAAGAAAGGATTGGACAGAATTGTGAACATTATTTGGACAGATTTGTGGACTTTTAAAGCAGAAGCAACAAGAGGATTGGATCCCTTTCAGAACTTGAAATATGGGTACCCTCAACAAAAATTTAAAATTAAACTCTGTAATTCGGAATTTATGTGATTTGATTGGTCTGTTAATAAAAAATATTTTTTTTAAAAAAAAAGATTACAGACTCTGCTAACCCAGAAATAGTACCTCGGGTTAAGAACTGTGCTTCAGGATGAGAACAGAAATCATGCAGCGGCAGCACAGCGGTGGCAGGAGGCCCCATTAGCTAAAGTGGTGCTTCAGGTTAAGAACAGTTTCAGGTTAAGAAGGGACCTCCAGAACGAATTAAGTACTTAACCCGAGGTACCACTGTATATGCTGGGTTTGGAAAGAACTGTCCAAACATTCTGCATCTGATAACAACATGAGTTTTCTGGGCTGCCTTAGCATATCTGAGAGCACCTTTAGTTTATTTAAGTGAATGTTATGCTGTTTCACGATAGCTTTGCACTTAGCTCCTAATCATTCATTCATTAATTCGCTCAGTCAACACAGTGACTTGAGGGGAGAAAAAGCACTTGAGAACAACTGCACACCGGGCAGTCTGCTATCGAGACTACCTGGAGTAGAGAGAATTCACAGCCTCATTCAGCTGTAGGCTTTCTAGTGCTGAAAAGGCAGATCTGGTATACTTCTAGGCTTCAGTTGGTACCTCATTTGCAGTCAGGCAGTCACCTGACTAACTACTCTTGTAGACCAGCTGACAAAGGTCTTGTCCTTCTCTAAACCTAACTCACACTGTTTCCTGAATCTGCCCATAGTCTGCCCTGCACAGGGGATTAAGTGATCTGATAATTTCTACAGATGCATTGCTAGGCTGGATGAGACTTAAGTTTACATTAAACTAACACAGCTTGATTTTCTCTTATCCCATCCTGAAACATCACCTGCTGTGAGTATCCATAAGACAGGAGAGCTCTAGCAATGTCAAATTTCAGTGAATCTTGCTTGGACAGGAGCAGTACCTAATATATTGAGCCTGAGGAAGTTACACATATTTGCTTAGTTTGGGGTTGTTGTTTTTTATTTTTTAAGTACAGGTTCTGAAAATCATAATTCTTTCAAGGGTCCATTTTTTGCTGTCATTATGAGAATGGGTGATGCACCAATTATCTTGATTTTAACCAGAAGTTGTAGTCTAAGAATGTTTGATTTATTGGCTTTATAAAATGCAATGGTCTTTAATGTTAGGTGCCGGGAGCTGTGCTGTAATTTTTGCTCCTTTTATTACAGCTGTTAACCAATGTATGAATTATCTTCAAAGGCTTAGAACTGCTTTTATCAACTTTTTTCCCTAGTACAACTGTCGAGCAAAAGGAAGTTGAGGATGTATGTGTTAGAGCCTGGGGCAAGAGGCTGCTAAGAGAAATGGCAATAGAATTCCACTCACCACTTGGCGATAGAGAATCAGCCTTCAAGGAAGAGCCCTGAGTCTAAGCTACTGTTGGGTCAGGGGAGAAAAATCAAACTGAAAAATCAAGGCTAGTCCAAATAGTACTAAAAATGAGTTACTTGACATCCTAAATTTAGGCATCTTTTGTACCTGGAGTGAGGCAACAGTGGTTAGGGGTGGACAGTTAGGGCTTGGTTCAGTCTATGCAGATTTCGCACATCACTAGGAATAGAAGGATCTGTCCATTTTGATTCTCTCCATTTCTCATTTTTTCCCATCTGAAAGTCTGTTCTCCACATTTCAGCAGTGATAAATTTCAACAGTGATTTGTGGATTTTTAAAAGGGAAAAACCCTTATGAAAATTCCTGAGATATGCAGTTTTGACTAATGTACACATTTTTTGCATTTCCTCCCTAATATATATATTTGTAAGTTATTTTCATTGACATACTCATTTTTGTGCACACTTCCCCATGAAATATGCATTGTTGTAAGCATTGTGGGTTAGATAATTGCATCGCAAAATTCAGATAAGTGCAACTATTGAAGGTTATCTATCTGTGTTTCAGTTTGTGCATTGTTGTGGAAAGCGGAAGCTCAATAGATTTGCCTTTAAATGTGTACTGAATCCGATTTCTCACCCATTCCTACACATGACCAATATAATAAGTGGCAGATTTTGGTATAGTCACCGGAATTTCCAGACCATGCTTTGGAAATATGCTGGGTCCACAATATTTGATCAGAATTTGGATGTGAATTTTCACAGAAAATCTAATTCAAAAGCCAGCAGCCCCCCAATCCACAAATGCTGAGCCCCAGCCAGCTTCTCAGAACAGACCAGAAATTAGGAACCTGCACCCTTACACCACTGCTCATACCATGTAATATTTTATGATGCGATTAAAATGAGACTGCAAGAGATATTAAAGATTTAAGATTTATTCCTAACTATTGAAAAGATGTTTCACTGCCCAACTAATGTATATTGTGCTCAGAAATCTTCCCAGTTCCCCCTTCTGTCTTATTTATTGCTATATAAGTGTAGCTTCCTTGAAGGTAAAAATGGACACTTCAGCATTACATTATTATTATTCATTATTATTCTTAACAAATGCAGTTGGGTTAGTGTATGATGTGGCTTCTGTTTTTAATGCTGCTACTAATGCTGCTGCAACTGCGGGAGGCAGTGGAAGACAGGAGTGCCTGGCGTGCTCTGGTCCGAAGAGTCGGACACGACTAAACGACTAAACAACAGCTGCTGCTGCTAATAGTTAATATCATCATCATCACCACCACCATCATCATCACATGTATAATTATATCACAGTGTGATTGCAAGTACTACTAGCTCTCAGATTCACCATTATACCCCATGTTCAGTTTTCCATCAGTTCCAGACAGTCTCACATGTGAATCTTACTACTGCAGTTGTACTGCACAATGGGCTCTGCCATCAGTTTTAGACTAGAAACCCTACAATGCAGCTAGGATGTCTTGAATCAAAGCACAAATACCAGTCCCAAGCTGTGGCAGAATAAATACAACACAGTGTAGCACATTTATTAATGGCATAAGGATTGTTAGTCTTTGTTGTGCCTGTTGCAACAGATCACCACTTCTGCAGAAAGAAACTTAGTATCATTTCTAACATTCACCAAGCTGGCGTTGGTGTCAGTACAGAATCCACTGCTGAAAGCTTACGGGAATACATATGTGAATGTTGTTGATTTTACATTTTCTCAAGATCCAGCTTGTCAAAAGCATTTGACGGAGTGACTAGGTTATGGAACGAGTGGCTAGTAGCTGCATGACTGGAGCAGCTGCCAAATATCTGTTGAAACTTTATTTGACTTGAGGCAAAACTCAAATTTGGTGGCGGTGAGAGAGGTTTCTGTGGACCCCTCCTGCAGTTACCGAAGAGCGGCAGACGGGCTCTGCCACCATTTCATTGCAACACTTTATAAATGTGAGTGTTTGCTTCCTCTTGCTGCTTAATGCACTGAAATATAATAGAGAAAGCCTCTGGCAAGCTGCCTTCTTAAACCATTATGGCATTTTAAAATCAAGAGTTTTACTGTCATCTGCAAACAAAAAGTTCAACAATAATTGCTACCTCAGTAATAATGGTACTTAACATTTATTTTGCATTTCTTGAGTACATAGGGAGCTTCACATGGATACTGCTACAAGAGCAATTTGGTCTCTCTGCTGTGCTGCTACTGGCTACTGCTTAGTTCTCTTTTTTTGTCTTTTAAAGGTTATTCTGAATGGTTTGATTTTGTTGTACTTAAACTATTGTGAGCCACCTTGAGGGTCTATTTTTTTAAGGCTGGGATAAAAATAGGCAACCCTTATATTTCAAATGCTGGGGTGGGGGTAAGGCTAGGAGATGTAAATAGTGGGTTGCTTTATAATGATGGTTTGTCGATTGACTCACCCTATGCTGATTTCTTCCTTTCTTCTATTCCCGCTTTTGTGTCTTTTGTTCCTCTTTCTCAATTCCTGCTTCATGTGCCATTCCCCTCCCTAAATCTTGTGCCATGCTGATCCCTATGACAGATGCAATTGTGATTTCTCTGTCTGTCAAGGCAAGTCCATGCCCTCTTCTCAGCTGTATCCGCATTCGTTGTGGATATATTTCCATAGCCAATATTATCTTCATATATTCTGATTATATGAAACTGCCCTGCATACTGAATCAGGTCATTGGTCCATCCAGCCTACTATATGGTGTATTCGGGCTGGCAGGAGCTCTCTAGAGCCTAAGTACTTCTGGGCCCTGGCATTTCAAGTCCTCAGAACTGGGGAACTGGGGCCTCCTGAACACAAAGTGTGTGATGACCTTAAAGTAGGGGTGGCTGACGTGTGCACCTCCAGATGTGGTTTCACTCCAGCTCTCATCTGCCCCAGCCAGCAAGGCCAATAGTCAAGGAAGATGGGAGCTTTAGCCCAGAGGTTGGTCAGCCATGCCCTAAAGTATGCTGCATTTCCTCCTGCCACATGGTCTTTCCTTGGTTCCTACACTAATAACTGCTCCAAAAAGGGAGCCAACTCTTACAGAAGAATCCATGTTGCCTTTTTTCCACTTGCTCCTTATCAGTGTAGTTGTGGATACTGTTATGCTGTCTTCGCAACCATTTTTTGAGCAAGAAGACAATTGGAGATAACCCATACATACCTGCTAGTATGCAAATTTACAAAGGGGACCCAGACTTTCTAAGAGAACACTTCATAGTGTTGGATGATTGTTGATCTGTGGCAGAACAGGAACTTACGCAGTGATCCTATAACTGAGAGTAAACCCTAATGAACACAAAGGGACTTCTGAATAGATATGCTTAGGATTGTGTTGCTATATATTTAGTTTTGGAATCCAATATGCTTTCAACCAGGAGTGGGAAACCTGTGGTCCTTCAGATGGTATTGGAAGCTCATCTTCCATCATTCCCAGCCAGCATTCTCAGTAGTCACGGAGTTGTAGTCCAGGTTATCCACTCCTGTCTTAAGTCCTCACCTTCAGTTTCAAAGTGATTCATTTTAAAGTAGGTGTGTTTAGAGCTGAAGCCTTAATTATCTGTTTCATATTATATAGACCTAAGGTTACAATATCTGAATCGAAATAAAAAAAATGAATCTAATATTATGCCTGCTCTTATTGTGTGTGTTGAAACTCATATTGATGCACACTGAATTTCGGCTCCCAACCTTGGTAGTTCTGAAGCACTAATACTACTGCAATCTTTTTAGGAAACAAAACCCAAAATGCCTCCAGTGTTTTAATTAAAAGTAATGAAAGACATCAAATAAAAAAAAAATAGCTTCCAAGAACAACTTGCAAGCCACCTTGACAACAGCCCCCAATATACAGCACTTGAGCAATTTTGAATTAAACAACATCCAGCAAGGCAAGTTTCTGCCTGCATAGTACAGTATATAGTGTAAAAGAAACCCATACTACTGTAACAGAACTGGAAGTGTCTAGCTAGACTTCTTTTTCTTTCCTTCCAAGGAAGAATATGAAAAAGTTGTTTCATCTAATGAACTTCAGTTTGCTTCGCTTGTGCAATGAATCTCCAAGCCTTGCCAAATGGAACTGGGAACATTGGTTGACAAACTGTGATTGCCAGTATGACTGTGTGTATCAAACACACCCACATATACATTCCAGACTCGTCCAGACACATTTAAACTGTGCATATTATGGCCTACAAAGCAGGGGCTGGATCCTGCCCTCATGGCTAGACACTGCCTGATGTTCCTCACTAGCTTGCAAAGAGCTGTGTAACAAGCATCTGTTCTCTAGAAATACAGGTCCAATTGTGAATCAAACATCAATATATGGTAGCATGCAGTCACAGTGCAGGCACAAGGTAGCCTCTCCTCACCATCACCTCTGCTAAGTAATAGGTCAGCAGCATTGGTAGCAAGAGCTACCGTAATACTGCTCAAGGTCAAAGCCTTTAGGTACTGGTGGATGATAGCTGTGTTAGTCATTTGCCTTTATTGATATCTAGACACTACTGTGCAAGCATTGCAGAGGAAAGAAGTGAATGCACCAGATCTATGGCACATTCTTACTTACAAATCTATGGTGGGACTGTGCTTGGAATACTAATATACCATTCTGATGACCTTGCCTCAAAAAGGATATTGTAGAGCTGGGGGAAAATTCAGAAAAAGGGGAACCCAAATAGTAGAAGTGATAATTGCAATACCTCAAGGACTGCCTCTCCCCATATGAGCTGACCCTAACCCTGTGATTATCATCTGAGGCCATTTGTGTGCCTCCTCCGTGAGAGGTCTGGAGGGCAGCAACACGAGAACGGACCTTTTCTGTGGTGGCTCCCTGTTTGTGGAATGCTTTTTGCAGTGAGGTTCACTTGGCGCCTTCATTACGTATATTTAGATGACAGGTAAAAACATTCCTCTTCTCCTAGACCTTTGGGTAATTAAACATTCTATGGCATTTTAAACTGACGGAGGGGTATTGTTTTTGTTTGTTACTATGTTATGTATTTTTGTGTGTTTTTATATTGTAAACGGCCCTCTGATCTTCAGTTCAAGGGTGGTATATAAATTTAATAAATAAATAAAAAAATGGAGGAACTCCCAGGTGAGGTAAGATTAGCATTGGGGCAGGGGTTTCATTTAGAGATAAAGAAAGGTGGTGTATAAAATCATGCAGGAAAGCAAACTCTTAATGCTGATATTTATCTAGATCTTACATTTCATTCCATTCTAATTTGCCTCTTTTTCTTTATCTCTTCTTTGGCTTTATCTTGGGCAGACAAAGGTCAAAATGTGTGTGTGTGTGTGTGTGTGTGTGTGTGTGTGTGTTCCTTACTGGAAGTCTGAAATGATCTTAATCTAAAGGTTGTCACCGAAAACAATTTGCTCAAACTAACAGCTTTGTTGGCACTTCAGACACAAAGCTAGAACTGCTGGCAAAAAAAAAAAAAAAACCTCCACAGAAGAAGGAAGCTGGCTAAAAATATAATACAATAAAGACACAAATGCTTAGTTAACAGTAAGCGCTTGGAATTGCATCAGTGGCTCATTTAACCAATAACTGCAAACTGCTGCCCATTCTGTGCGTTCCTAAGATTTCCATCCCCTGCAAGGTCTCTCATTACCCTTATCTGCTAGTGAATTGTTTGCTGCATTTATTCCATTGAACCCAGCAGAGCTAATGGAATGTAGCAAAATTCTTCACTCCGTATACCCATTGCAGGTTTCGATATAACCGTATGGTAAGTTTCAAAAATGAATTGAGAAGTGATTTATGCTTCAATCCTAAACATATTTACCAAAGGGTATACCCTATGTGTGCGTAAAGTTGAGTTTAAGCAGCTTCAGGGTGAGTTTTCAATTTTATAACAACACATTGCCATGAAATTATTCCAGCCCCTTTTTCCTCTTGTGGCGCAGCTTGTAATTGTGTCCCTCCATGTTCAGGCCTAATTTAAGCTCATGCTGGAAAGGATCACTGATCATTGTTCAGTATTATTATTTACTAACAGTTACTTAAACAACACCTTTAAGTTTAAGATAAAATACAACAAATATACAGGGGTACAATAAAACCATCAGGTACAGAAGATAAATACAGCAATCAAACAAAGCAGGGAAATACACACATGACCTTGAATTGTGGGGGAAGCAGAGGACTTCCGGGTTAGCGCCACCGGCGATGGTGGGCTTCCTCTGATCTGGAGGAACCCGCTCCGTGAAAATTAGGGTCTGGACCGCCACGGCGAGGCGGAGACCCATCAAAAACCACAGGCGGGAGAAGCCTGTGTACCTGGGATTCGGCTGACACCTTTAGCGCCTCCCCTACTCGCGGGGAAACTCGGCTACGGGGATCCGGAGCGACGTGGGGTGAGCGGCGCGGTGCTTCGAATCGACTGCTCTATTCACGGAGTGAAGCCGCATTGCTGTTGTTGGAGAGCGCTGACTTTTTTCCTGTGGACAATTGGACTCTAAACAAGTACCCGTGAGTAGAACGGAAAATTGGATTACTAAACTTCGTAATTTGGCACCGGAGCGGGAAGGTCTAAACAGGAAGTCCGCCTTCCGCTTTTGTAAACAGTTTGAAGCAAAGACATCGTAAGCTAGAGTCTGGAAAGTTGTTTGTAAAGGATTAAATTTTCATCATTTAAAATTACTGAACCCCCCTTGGAAGCAGGAGAAGAGGGGGGAACCTTTTTTAGACTGTTTAAACCTGCAGAAGAGAGAGTAAAGAAAGGTAAATTTCCACCGTCTTGAACCTGGGAGCGGGGTGTCAGGACAGACGTTTTGGGGAAGTTCATTGACTATGGACAAACGTTTTTGACAGATAGTCAAAAGAGAAACATATTGATTCCATTGTTCCCTTTCGCATTTAAAAGGAACAAAATATCCGAAAAAGGAAAACTTTGTTGCTAGATCTGCTTTTTTTTTAAAAAAAAAGATGGATACAAATAGAAATTGCTTCCCCTAGAGGGAGCATGTGAAACTGTTATTAAAGTCGAACTGGGGAGCTTTGCAGCTGTAGAGATTAAAGATTGTGGGACCAGACTTCGAATGTGCTTAGAGGAGGCTTTGGTGCTTGCTTTTTGCAAGACAAGCGCTTTATTGGAACAGTTACATGAGAAGATGGATTTGATGACTGTTGTGGTCGGAAATTTTGGACAGGCAGTGGGTACCTATATAGAACCCACTCAGGAATTAATCCAGGAATGTGCTTTGACAGATCAGATAAAGGAGGAGGTTGTTGCTGAACCTCAAGTAGCAGAAATGGAGAGAGCTGTGGCCCAGCAGGAACATGAGTTGTTGGATTTGACGAATGAACCTGGAAAAAGTCAGATTTGGAGAGATGGAGTTCTGTTTGGCTTGGAGATGGGGGGTTGGATGGATCCCCCTATGCAGGGATGTTTTGACCTTTCAAGTCTGGCTTTGGGCCGGGGGGAGTTCGGAGTTGTGGGGGCCCTTAACTTTGGAGGGACTTTGAAACATGCCTTTAAATATCATATGGATTTCAGTGTTGACTATGGAAAAGGGGCTGACTTGTCGAGAAGGGACAAAGATATTGTCAAGTTGGAGTCTCCCCGAGTGAAAGGAAGGAAATTAAGAATAAGATCAGCAGAAGACAAAGTAAAGTACAGGTATAAACATGAAGAAGACCTGCGGAAGGGACATGGAAAAGACTTAAGAGCCTCGGATACAAGGTCACCAGGTTGATGGACCAGATGGATGGGATAGAAAGGACTGACAAAACCCGAGACCAGGAAGAAGAGACGATGGATGAAGATTGGAAGAAAGTTATAAAAATTTATTTAGAAAAGTATCGTAAAATTAATGAGTATTAGAAAAATGTTGGAATGAAATTATTTGGCTTTAGCAGAAATGTTAAAAAGAATTATGTATGAATATGTTATGGTTAAAAGAATTTGGTATAAATAAGATTTAAGTTTTAAGTTTTAAGGTTTTTTATGGATAAGATAAGTTTAAAATAGATTAAGGTAATTTAATGACAGAATATTGTGAAAGATGGAAAGGATTTGCTGAGATAATTAACAACTAGAATACAAAAAAGGGAGGTGTGAGGAGGTTGATGAAATAAGATAATGAAAGTTAAGGATTTGGGAATATTGGATTTGTTTTTAAATTTTTTGTTTATTTTTGCTCTTTGATTTTGATGTATTGTGTGTTTTGTTTTTTCTTTTTGACTGTGGTTTTTATTGATTTGTATTGTTTAATTGTTATTTTTATCTACCTTTTTCTTTCTTTTTCTCTTTCTCTTGTTTTTTCCTTCTTTTTTCTTTGTAACTTTAAAATTCTCAATAAATACCATTAAAAAAAAAAAAAGAATTGTGGGGGAAGCAGAGGACTTTCATATAGAGTAAATTAAGCCGACATAAATTTACACCAGATCCAAACCTTGTTTGCCAGTGGGGCTGCTGCTTCTCTGCCTAAACATGGTTGAGGGAAAACAAGCTGTTAAAATAGTGTCTTAAACTGGGTTGCCAAGTCATGTGACCAAGCTGAATGTGTTTAGGATCCAGCCTAAGTTCCCTCTCTCTGGTCCCATTTCTGGAATGTCCCTTTTGGTGACTTAGACCAGCCTTGGCTCATCGAGCTTTAGCTGAGGCAGCTGAGCCAGAATGAGCAAGTTACACTGGTGTATCTTTGGCTGAGCTGGGGTTGGGGACTTAGCGCTGGCTGAACTGCTGCATCCTAAGCTGCTCATCCTAGCGGATCTTGCCATAGGTTTGCCCCTCTAGTGTTTATTTCACCTAATATAGATATTTTGGCAAATAAAGTCCCCTAAGACTTTGCATTGTGTCAGTTATTTTCACAACTGTATGCATTTTTATGTATCTCCCCCCTAATATAGACATTTATTGCAGTGCAAAATTCAGAGAAGAACATTTCAAAGAGTGGCTGTATTTCAGTTCAGTGTATTGTTTCAGAAAGTGTGAATTAGGTAGGTTCAGCTTTAAATGTGCAATGGATCAAATTTCTCCCCCATTATTGGTGATGGGTCATTCACACATGCAAGCAACCACTTGATATTGTAGTCATCAAGTACTGAACAGGGCTAAGGTGCTGACAAGGCAGCCAGTTACTATAATCATTGTGAAATTTAAAAGATGGGAAGCCACCAGGTCTCTTCATGCACTGGCAGATAAAGTAGAAATTAGGTCCTGATGTGGTTATGGTGTGCCACATCGCAGGCTACTGAGTTACCCTTTTGAATCAAGGATCTAGCATGAGTTCAATGCACAGTAGAAGACTGGTAGCTCCTCTTTAAAGTCTGGCATTGAGGTCTGATATGTAACAAGAATTAAAGAAAATGCTTTAAAAAAACAAACAAACCACCTGTGTGGTATCTTTCCCCACTTTGAGACCAAAAGAGAGGCAATTTGGCCAGTGAGTAATTGAGAAAAAAATGGATTAAATTTATGGGGAAGAGAGACGAAGCTGCTACTGACCTCACTATATAAAATTTTGCCCTGTGCCAAGGCTCTCACATCTTGATCCCCAGCTTCTGAAGGGTTGACAGTGAAAAGCACTGCATTATAAAATTTACAGAGAATGTCTGTGTGGTGGCAGATCCTTTGAACAGTCATTTTTCAATCTGTAACAAGACTTATATGCCATTTGAAAAATTGGATAACAACATCTACCTCCCCAGGATGCTGAGAAAATTAATGAAGTAATTATTGCTAGAATGAGTTGGTCCCAAACCAGAATATTGGTGGCTGGTTCTCATTTACACCAAAGGGAACACGTTAGTTACATGTTCATCGTCCAAGCCATAACTGAATGTGTTAGCTACCCCCAGTGTGCAGGAATATTGAAGGAGTTCTGCTTCTGAAGTTATGCTAACCAAACCCACAACTAGAAACTAGCTCCTTCTATTACTAGAAAAAAAGACTTAGATATGGCGGGTGCTATTTTTGTAGAAAAAGAGGCACTGGAACTCACGCTGAACACCCACCTGGTTCTCTTATAATGGCAATGGTGCCCACCTGAGAGGTGCCGGAACTGGGTTCCAGTGAGTTCCAGCTGAAAATAAGCCCTGGATATGGCAGAAGTCGGGACACGGGTGGCACTGTGGGTTAAACCACAGAGCCTAGGACTTGCCGATCAGAAGGTCGGCGGTTCGAATCCCCATGACGGGGTGAGCCCCTGTTGCTTGGTCCCTGCTCCTGCCCACCTAGCATAGAATCATAGAATCATAGAATCATAGAGTTGGAAGAGACCACAAGGGCCATCGAGTCCAACCCCCTGCCAAGCAGGAAACACCATCAGAGCACTCCTGACATATGGTTGTCAAGCCTCTGCTTAAAGACCTCCAAAGAAGGAGACTCCACCACACTCCTTGGCAGCAAATTCCACTGTCGAACAGCTCTTACTGTCAGGAAGTTCTTCCTAATGTTTAGGTGGAATCTTCTTTCTTGTAGTTTGGATCCATTGCTCCGTGTCCGCTTCTCTGGAGCAGCAGAAAACAACCTTTCTCCCTCCTCTATGTGACATCCTTTTATATATTTGAACATGGCTATCATATCACCCCTTAACCTCCTTTTCTCCAGGCTAAACATGCCCAGCTCTCTTAGCCGTTCCTCATAAGGCATCGTTTCCAGGCCTTTGACCATTTTGGTTGCCCTCCTCTGGACACGTTCCAGTTTGTCAATGTCCTTCTTGAACAGTTCGAAAGCACGTCAAAGTGCAAGTAGATAAACAGGTACCGCTCTGGCGGGAGGGTAAACGGCGTTTCCGTGCGCTGCTCTGGTTCACCAGAAGCGGCTTAGTCATGCTGGCCACATGACCCGGAAGCTGTACGCCAGCTCCCTCGGCCAATAAAGCGAGATGAGCGCCGCAACCCCAGAGTCGGCCACGACTGGACCTAATGGTCAGGGGTCCCTTTACCTTTACCTTTATGGCAGAAGTCCTGCCCACCAACAGCTCCTCAGACTTGTTTTGGACAGCCTGTGTATGCAAAGGAGACCCCTCCACCTTACCAAATGACTGCTAAGCCACACCTCTTCTCCTTTCATTGATCCTAAGGGAGAAAACCCTTCTTTCTGGTAGTGGGTGCAGCAAGATAGGTTATGGGATGCCTCTTGTTCATCTTTCTTTTGAAACAAAAGCAAGCATGACTCTATTGGTAAAGCAGAAAGGAGGCAGTGTTATAGGCTCACAAAGAAGTGTGTTTAAATTGCTGTCCCGATTAGTTGTTGGAAGCTGACTTTGGCAACTCTAATTGAGGCAAAATGGTGGGACATAAACATTTTTAATGACAAGAAACCATAATTTTTTATTTTTGGAAAAATTAAATGTATTAAAACATTTACAATGTGGGCAGCTGGTTCCCAGGTTCAAAAATTGGAGCATTTGCCTGTTCTACACAGGGCTGCATTCACCCTGAAGAAACAGGTACAGTGGTACCTTGGGTTACAAACACCTCAGGTTACAAACACTTCGGGGTACAGACTCCACTAACCCAGAAGTAGTACCTCAGGTTAAGAACTTTACCTCAGGATGAGAACAGAAATTGCACACTGGTGGTGCGGCGGCAGCGGGAGGCCCCATTAGCTAAAGTGGTATCTTAGGTTCAGAACGGTTTCAGGTTAAGAATGGACCTCCGGAATGAATTAAGTTCATAATCAGAGGTACCACTGTCACAGATTTGGAATGTTCTTGGATCCATCTTTGTCCATGGAGACCCAGTTGGTCTCTGTGGTGAAGAGTGCCTATCATCAACTTTGGCTGGTGGGTGAACTGTGCTGTATTTTGGACAGGGGTAATTTGGCTACAATGATACATGTGTTGGTAGCCTCATGTTTAAGATCATTGCAATGTGCTCTAAGTTGGGCTTCCCTGACAGCTGATCCAGAGGCTGCAGCTGGTGCAAAATGCTGTGGCCTAGGTGGTGAGTGGTGTTTCGTATTTAGCGCATATCACTCTAGCTAAGGGATCTGTCCTGGCTGTCTATTAACCATTGAACTGGCTTTAAGTCCCTGTTACAAAGCTTTAAACAACTCTGGTTACCAAAAAAGTCACCTTTCCCTCCTTTGTCAGGTAAGGACATTAAGAGGACTAGTTTTGCCACAGCCTGGTGAATAACAACATGTAATAGCATGGAGCTAGGCTTTCTCACTGGTGACACAAGTATGGTGGAATGCTCTCCCTGCTGAAATGCAAGGTGTCCCATCAATATTGGCATTCCTTTTGCTCTTGAAAACATACCTGTTTAGGCAAGCATTCCCATGGTGTTCTAAATTGAACCTCTTGTTTAATTGTTTTAACTTTTATTCTGTTTTAATTACCTTGTTTACGGGTGTTACATTGTTTTGATGAAATTGTACTATGTAGCTTTCTTTTTACAATTGGTTTCAACCTTGTCATTTTGCTTTGGGTTTTTTTGTTTGTGAAACACCTTGGCATTTGTTCTCGAAATGAAAGGCAGTATATAATGTATTTTAATGCTGCTGCTGCTGGTGGTGGTATGTGAGAGATTCACAACACTTTCTTTAGTTTAGAAATGTGCCCATGGACCCAAATGGTTGGCAAACCCTACCTAACTTTACCATGCCTGAGATATTTTCTCCTTCTGCAGCCATTCATCCTGTGCCCTTCTCCAGATACAAAAGTTTTGCCACAATTAACCTTCTTTCTAAGAAGGGTGAGACCTAGAATTCAGGGAGGCAGAATGGAGAAAACAGATCCCTGAGCAATGTCCTCTCTAGAA